CTAGATATTTTTTGTTTATACAGGTGGGTACAAGAACAGACAACTTGCGGGCTTCTTAGCAGGCTGACAGCTTTCCCTTCCCATACATAGCTCATGATAAGCTATACTCACTAGTTTTCCCTGTAACACGACTCGCCGATCTATTAACAACCAGGTACACAATTACTGTTGGGTGAACAGTGGCGAACAGTTGAGTATTGGCGCTTAGGCAATCTTTCCTGGCTAGGACTCGAACCCAGACGAAATGGCTTGCGAGGCGCAGAACGACTGTCTTACCAATGCACTATCATGGACTGGTAATCTAGCCCAATTTATCCATACCGTTGAAAGGTCTCTTATATCAGAGTTGAGCCCACCAGGGCTCAACTACTGGCCTCCATCACTCTCTCACTTAACTTGTTCCAACCGTCTACCATTCTTATCTATGAGTTGCAATGAGTTACATATGGCATCGAAGTCATATGTAACCCTAACACACACACACACACTAATCAAAACTCTAGAAACAATAGTTAAAGCCAAATGGGTTGAACACCTAGAGAGTAATGACATAAAAACGACAGATAGTATGGCTTTCAAACAGGAAGATCCTGTGTAAAAAATCTACTTAGTTTTTATGATAGAGCCACAGAGATACTACAGGAAAGAGATGGCTGGGTTGACTGTGTCTAACTGGATCTAAGAAAGGCTTTTGACACAGTCCCACACAATAGGTTGTTCTAAAAAGAGGAACACATAAAGAACATTGTGAGAGGAGCGTATGCGTCGCTTTCCAACTTCAGACTTGCTTTTAATTATATGGATGACGAAATACTAAAGAAACTGCTCATGACTTTTGTGAGACCAAAACTGGAATATGCAGCAGTTGTATGGCGCCCAAATCTCAAGAACCACATAAATAGACTGGAAAAGGTGAAAAGTCATGCTACAAAATGGCTTCCGGAACTGAAAAACAAGAGTTATGAAGAGAGGCTAGAAGCGTTAATTATACCTAAACCAGAAGATAAAAGAAAAAGAGGTTATATGATCACCACTTACAAAATACTACCAGGAATAGACCAAATTGGCAGGAATTCCTGAAACCAGCAACTTCACGAGCAAGAGGACACATTCAAACTAAGAAAACAAAAGTGCTGAAAAAATATGAGAAAGTTTTCTTTTGATAACAGAATGGTAGACGGTTGGAACAAGTTAAGTGAGAGAGTGATGGAGGCCAGTAGTTTCAAAGAGTTACATGACAAAGAGCGCTGGGAAGACGGGACACCAAGAGCTTAGCTCTCGTCCTGTAACTACATTTAGGTAATGACACACAAACAGTATGAGGTACACCACCTTACACCCAACACCCCCCCAGGGTATTCCACCTTATCGCCTCTCCCCCGGGGTACTCCACCTTACTCCCCCCGGGGTACTCCACCTTACTCCCCCCGAGGTACTCCACCTTACTCCCCCCCGGGGTACTCCACCTTACTCCCCCCCGGGGTACTCCACCTTACTCCCCCCGGAGTACTCCACCTTACTCCCCCCGAGGTACTCCACCTTACTCCCCCCCGGGGTACTCCACCTTACTCCCCCCGGGGTACTCCACCTTACTCCCCCCGGGGTACTCCACCTTACTCCCCCCGAGGTACTCCACCTTACTCCCCCCCGGGGTACTCCACCTTACTCCCCCCCGGGGTACTCCACCTTACTCCCCCCGGGGTACTCCACCTTACTCCCCCCGAGGTACTCCACCTTACTCCCCCCGGGGTACTCCACCTTACTCCCCCCGGGGTACTCCACCTTACTCCCCCCGGGGTACTCCACCTTACTCCCCCCGGGGTACTCCACTTTACTCCCCCCGGGTACTCCACCTTACTCCCCCCGGGGTACTCCACCTTACTCCCCCCCGAGGTACTCCACCTTACTCCCCCCCGGGGTACTCCACCTTACTCCCCCCGGGGTACTCCACCTTACTCCCCCCGGGGTACTCCACCTTACTCCCCCCGGGGTACTCCACCTTACTCCCCCCCGGGGTACTCCACCTTACTCCCCCCCGGGTACTCCACCTTACTCCCCCCCGGGGTACTCCACCTTACTCCCCCCCGGGGTACTCCACCTTACTCCCCCCGGGGTACTCCACCTTACTCCCCCCGGGGTACTCCACCTTACTCCCCCCGGGGTACTCCACCTTACTCCCCCCGAGGTACTCCACCTTACTCCCCCCGGGGTACTCCACCTTACTCCCCCCCGGGGTACTCCACCTTACTCCCCCCGGGGTACTCCACCTTACTCCCCCCGGGGTACTCCACCTTACTCCCCCCCGGGGTACTCCACCTTACTCCCCCCGGGGTACTCCACCTTACTCCCCCCGAGGTACTCCACCTTACTCCCCCCGGGGTACTCGACCTTACTCCCCCGGGGTACTCCACCTTACTCCCCCCGGGGTACTCCACCTTACTCCCCCCCGGGGTACTCCACCTTACTCCCCCCGAGGTACTCCACCTTACTCCCCCCGGGG